CCTTCTACTCCAGTGCGATTCACATTAAATCACGAAATGCAAATAGGGAAGGAAGCGGCTCAAATTGCAAGAGTGAAAATACTGCAGGTGCTTGGACTCATAGAACATGTGATGTGATTCTTACTATTTTATTTATTGAAGCTTTTGCAAATCTGGTGCAGAAAAGTTTGGTGTAAATGTTAAAGCCCCGTCAATGATGGGAAAAATATGAGTGCGATTTATTAGTGTGTGTTTTGCCCACCAAGTTGCTTCCTTTGGTTTTTCAAAACTATTTAATTACGACCTCCACTCAATCGCAAAGAGGAACAGAGCAAATTATGGCTGCTATGAGGAGAGCTAAATTACATTACAGGATGCCCCGGGGAGCACCTCTGAGTTCATTTCAGCGAAGTCAGTCCTCGGACTCTCCACAAATCCATGGCAATACAATTACAGAGCAGACTGGCTGATCTTTCAAAGAACCTTTACCAAAAGGCACGGAAGGAATGCAACACGCAACACGCAGCTTTAAGCTTCAAGCTCGCCTAAATCACTGGAGCAAACGACACCTTGCACAAGACAAAAATTCTGACGTGTTTCAAGTGCTTCTTACCCCACACTCAGAGAACCTCCTGTGAGAATGCATGAATGCATGCGATCGTTTTTGTTTTCTACAGCTGTCCGCAGTATCAAGCCCAAGGAACACAGCCGTTCTCAAGTGACCGCACCGCAGGATTCCAGAGATAAACCCAGAGACGCTTTGCAAAGCATGGGGTTCGAGATGAAAGACAGATACAGAGGGAAAGACTATTCCTCCTGCTCTTGACACACTTCATGTGTGACTTACACAAAGGGGACAGATTTTACAAATATGAAACTAACATGTATCAGCTCAGTCTATGAAACACCTTGGGCAGTACACAAAATACCCAGGTTAGCAAACCATGGGTTGTTTGTGAGTACACAGGGGCATGTGAGCATACTGGCGCACCCATTTCCACCTTGCTACACACTCCGGGAAGACCCCGCATTGCCGTGGCGTGCAAACCCAGCACCGTGGGTTCTTTAGGGTTAAACAACCAACAGTCCTTCAAGACCAACTGAAGGACGGGGTGCTCCTGGCTTGTTTTGCAACCCTGCAGGAAAACTGGAGATGACACCCGAGGAGGAGGCATTTGCTCATCCAGCATGACCAGAGGCAACTGTGGGTTGTGCGTCCACGGGCGGTCCTCTGCCCAAATCGGGGTGCGAGAGTGCTGGGGAAGCACTGCAGTCCATCCCCAGCATCTTTCCGCTCTTAGGAGGGGCCCCATGCCGCTTCACTGGCGCCCTAGGACTTCCTGCCGACCCAAGGAGGTCGGCTTAATTGTGCACAGCGTTATCGGTGCTGTGTGTTTCTTCTTTTACTGGACATGTTGGTATAATACCAACACAGACATTATGTCAGAAACAGTAGCAACAGTAGTCTTAATAATTCTCACACCTCTGCAAATTATCATCGGCTGAGATGCAAAAGGGTTATTTTAAGCATGATTAAGGACTGGGGCATACCAGTGGAATATTATACTTTTATTTTAACTTTTTATGGCACCTCAGGGCCACCCCCGCCCTCCCTCACACACACGCGCGCAGACACGGCAAGCTGCTTCTAAAAGTCTCCTCAGCATCAAAAAGCAACTTGTTATTAAGTGAGGGTGGCCGTGTGTGTGTGTGTGTGTGTGTGTGTGTGTGTGTTGCGAGAGGAGCGCATTCAAAGGACACAAGCACAAGGAATTGCTGAGTACACAGAAACGGCTGCATACTTCTTTCAAACTGGGTCATTTACTTATTTTTAATCTGTGATTTATTTCAGTTTCATACCATCTGATAGTTGAGGCTCTCTGATTAGTCTGAGCGTTGTATCTGGGAATCCCCCGTGATGCTCTCCACTGCCATATGGGACCCAAACACTCTTTAGGGAGACACAGTGATGCAAAAAGTAAAAATAAATAACTGCAAATTAAGAGTGCAAGGATTTTAAATAAATCTTTGGAACTGTGTTGGGCCCAAAGAGCAAGGAAAGCCCGTTATTCCATGTCCTGCACTCTGGGGTGATTCAGAAGACATCCTGGCCCTTCTCTTTGCAACAGCCTTTCAAGTACTTGTAGGGGGCTAGTCTCCCTCCCTTCAGTCTTCTCAAGGCTAAAGACACCCAGTTCTTTTACTCTCTCCTCATAGAGCATTGTTTCCACTCCCTGGATCATCCTTGTAGCCCTCCTCTGAACCCTTCCCAGCTTGTCTGCCTCTTGCTTAAACTGTGGTGCCCAGAACGCAGGGGTCCAGACAGCCCTAAGCAGTGCTGAGGGCAGGGAGCAGACTCTACCTCATCTGGAAGTTATCTTTCAGTTAATGCAACCCAAAATAGAATTTGCCCTTTTTGCAGCCAAATGTTTGAGCATTTGCAGATCACTGACATACAGTATGACTAAGACCAAGATGCCTGATGGAAAAGGATTATTCAACCACCAACGAAGAACCTCAGGTAATTTCTAAACACCTTACTCTGATTACAACAGATATTGCACCCTTGAAAGAAATTAAGAATTCACAAATGCAGGCTACAGATATGGCTAGCAAGCCCTTCCTCAGAAAACGGAAGACACCCGTCCTCCCTCAGAGACCAGGCCATGGAAGCAACCTCTTATTTTCCTGTTTCCAGTCTAGGGTCTGCCCACCCTCCAGATGGGACACCAGGCAGCCTTCCTTCTACCTGTACATCACAGCTCCAAAAAGTTGTCTTCTCTGTTTAGAAAGTGATGCATTCTAATGCTATTAAAAATGGCTGTCGTGCGTATTGCATTGACAGGGGGAGAGAATCAAGCCCAGGCGGAAAACAAAGGCTTCTACCCAGCCTCTCCTGACCTTTCACTCCCTTAGAGCAATTTTCTGATTTTCTGCTGGAATAGTCTTTGTCGGTTCCAATATGTCATTCTCCTTCCACGGCCTGCGTAGCTTGCCCGTTACGCAATCCGCACGGGTCACGAGCCATCACTTCATTTCTTCCCCAAATCCATCTCCCTCTCGGTGCCAGCACCTCTTCTCTCCTTAAGTTGCTCTGTGCTCGTACTTCCGTCTGCTTTACCTGCTCTTCTCACACTTCGGTCTCCGCAGGCCTATTGGAGCTAGGAAAGAATGACTCCTGCCTTGCCTTGCAAAACGTCGTCTTCCTGTTCTTGCTACCAGAAGGGCATTTCGGAGTCTGGGACTCGGTCCACAGGCTCCCACAGCCGGAACAAAACTGCCGCCAAACAGACTAAGCTCTGCAGCACACGTGGAAGCCATCCAATCGTTGGATCTTCAGCCACGGAGGCAGCCGATGTGGTGTGTAGCGGTTACGTCGCTGGACCGGAACGTCAGAGATTTGGGTTCTCATCTTAGTTTAGCCATCACTGGCTGATTTAGGGTTAGTCACTGACTCAGGCCAACCCCCTTAACAAGATGATTGTGTGGATAGCGTTGGATGTGGTGGCGGGGGGGGGGGGGTGAAGGATGTAAAGGGAACGATAGATGAGAAAAGGTCCAGGAAAGCAAGCATCTATGGATCAACTAAGCATTCTGCTCTCCAGCCCCCACCCTGAACTAAGTCACAAAAAAATCAGGAAGACATAACACGGCCCTGTCGGGCTCATGCCTCTAACAAGGCAGGGTAAAAAATGTGCCGCATATGCCAGAACCTGGATATTATTTCAGCAATGAATTTGTGCAACAAAAAGAACTGGAAAAAAGGCCTCATGACACTCAATAATTGCAGGAGAATTTTCTTTCTTTACTACGAAATTCTAACGAGGAACACCTCCAGAAGGTTGAAAAAGCCTTGAGTAACCCAGGGTACCCAGATTTCTGTTCTCACTCAGCAATCAGCATGGCTCTTGTTTAGGGATGATGGTGGTTGTAATCCAGCATCATCTAGAGACCCACACTTGGGAAAGGCTGATGAAGGAACGGACTTGCAACAGGAGAAATAGAGCTGCTACATACAGTGGGATAGTTTGTGTATTCTATTTTCAGTACATTTAATTGCTACTGCAGCAATATTTCTTTATGCCATATTCACAAATTACATAAGTGGCAATTTATGGCAATATTCATAATTGCAGCCTATGAAGAGCAGCTTAAGCAGGAGGGAGCTGCCTTCTGCAGAAAAAGAAAGTTCTGGCATTCATAAGGTGAGCAGGCTGAAGAGAAGTGATCACATTCCAAAGTGCAGAGAAGCTCTAAACACAGATTGGCACCTCACAAGCATACATGCATAATGACGGGAATTCTATCAAACAGAACCTGGTGCATCTGAGAAAACTCTAGGGCTACTAAATACATCCTAGAATTTCCAAAAACAAGACGATAGCACCTCACTTCCCGGAAGCAGTCGGTTTATTATCTGGCTTTATCAGCAAAATAAATAATGCGTTACCAGCTAAATGACAGTCTTTTCGGAACTCAAAACCGCATTTGAGTTTCAAGTGAGAAATGAGCTGATTGAATGGCTTCTCCATCCAACAAATAATTAAATAAATCCCTACACATGAGAAAGCGAAATTTCAGGAAGACGGCAAGGCCAAAAGTCAGTGTTCCTGATAGCTAAGATTCTATGTCACGGAGGTTTCTTTTCTTTCCTTTTTTGTTTTTTATTTGGACAGGTTTTTTGCTCCAACGCTGAGCTTCCTCTTGAAGAAGGTTTTAATCTGATGGGTGCTGCTTACTTCTCACATACTGACATTTTTGATTGCACTTTAATTTACATGTTTTCATGTTTTGATTATACTTTTGCATTTTACACATGCTGTTTATTGTTAGACACCTTAAGCACTATTTGTCATGGAAAGTTAGGAGGAACAAATTAATTAGTTTAAAACAATAAATATGCATGAAGAAGACTAACATGAGCAGCTCCTGCCTGCAGCCTGAAGCCAAGCACAGGGTTCTACGGTCCAGTCAGAATTTGGTCTCTGCATACAGAAAGTGTACCGCATAAGCAATCTCACCTGTATAGGCCATGTTCTTAGGGTTGCCGTACGGAGCCCCAGGTTGAACGGGGCTGTAAACAGGATTCATTATGGAAGACCTGAAAACTCTGAAAGAGAAAGGCAAAAGGGAATGTTGAAAAACCAGTCCTGTTTTTCCCCACTTGAAAAAGGACAGTCGCAGTTAAAGATAGACATTCAAATAAATCCATTTAACGGTAGATTTGAAAAAAAATGAACACAAAAGATCTAGAAGCCTTTATTAAAAGTTAAAGTGTGAAATGAAGCAAGTGGCGGAATTCATTGTAAGATGGGCAAGAGCTGCAAGAGATGATATGCAAATTGAAACCTGGGGACCTCTCTGGTCCGAAGAATTTCTCCTTCTATTATTATTATTTATTATTTATTTAGAGAACGTCTATGCCGCCCCGTTTGCCGAAGCCTCGGGGCGGCTCACAATGTATAGATCGGGCTGGCCAGGCTTGCTCAGGGGAAGAGTCACATCTGGTAAATGCCAGGTGTTTGAGAGCCGCAAGCGGGCGCTCACAGGCAGTGGTGCCAGGTGGCGAGCGAGCGAGCGGCAAGTGGGCGGTGGCGGCAAGCGAGAGCCGGCGAGCGAGCCGCAAAAGAAAGCCAACGAGCCGCAGGCAGCGCCGGAGCCTCCCTTTGGCCAGCCTTGCTACACACGAACATCACGAAAATGGCTATAAAATGACAATGGGATGGTGTATTGCCCCCTTGGCAATTAAATAAATATTAAAATATTTATTGTTGGCTATGTTTAAAAGACCAAGGGGGTTTCTGGCATATGTGGTAGGCACGCACTTCCACTAAGCAATGTCAGGAAAAAAGAAAACCCCAACAGAGAAATTACTGGGCAATACTTATACAGGATAATACACAGAAACGGAATATACAGCCACTAACATGTTACATGATAAATACTGGAAAATATGCAAAACATCAAGCATGATGAATCGATAAAGTACGGGATTTTTCAGTCAATGGCTATTATGACATTTTTATAAGCAAAAAGGAAAAAGCAACAGAGGGGGGCTAAGTTTATGAATAATTAGGCATTGTAAATCTTTCCGAACTATTTATTAATGCCAAACTTACATGTATCTTTAAAGTCAAATAATTATGGCAGGTACAGTAATAAGTTGGGACTTTCCAGTTAGAGCACTGGTAGCAATCTTATCTACTCAGTAAGTCTGGATTAATGTATAACACAAGCTTATATTTCTGTTTCCCAGTCTTATACCCTGCTTCCTGAATGCTGAAAAAGAATTAAAAAGGGGGTTAAGCTGGACGACCGAGCGTTTCAAAACCTGGACCAATTCCCCTATTCCCCTAGGAGGAGTCCAGGCCAAAGGACAAGCTGAACAGTCTTTGGGGACACAGGATCAAAAAACCCCAAATATCTGGGTTGCTTGTATGCACTGTACATTAAATATTAGAACATCCATTTTAAAGGAAGTATATAATGTCTTCCTATAATGGCATAGGATATTAGTATTACATATTATATTACATATAAGAATACTATTATGTTAGTATTACATGTAATACTAATATTATTAGTAATATGATTAGTATTCGTATTACATGCAATACTAATATCACATATTAGTATTACATACTAATATCACGAAATGGCTTTGTCTACAAGTGATAACATTTCATGGTGCTTGAGTGCTGGGATTGGAACAAAGGAAATCTTGGTTCAATGTCTCTCTGCTCAGTGGCCTTGAAGAAGTCACTCTGTCTGAGGTTCATCGACCTTCCTCAAAGGGTTACTCGGACCAGAAGCAACTTCGGCCCACTCACGTAGGAAGGTCACCTTTTACCTAGGAAATTTTGGACTGCAGAGAAGCTCACAAGCACCCATCACATTCCCCATCTGTTACCTATGGTTAAGAGGTCAGGAATATTATGTCCACAAAGCCTGTGTTTTTATCACCCTCGGAAAGGCCAGATTCAAATGAATCCTGAGATTATACGAAAATGTTGCCCCCTGAAAGAATCTACAGCCTAAGATGCAATGAAATCAAACCAAGTGCTCAGGACCAGGAGGGCCCAGTCCCAGGGTTCCATCTTGACAACACCGAGGAATTGCCAGGTTTTCATGGCCTACTTATATTAAATACAGACACAGTCTGGCTAGATGCCGCTCACTTCTTGAAAACAAAAGCTAGCCTCACATTTATCTCTTTGATACTAGACCCACATGCTAAAATATTCTCTCTCACTGGCACTTTGACAGGATGTTCAGTACTATCAAAAATGTGGCAGCTCCAAAAGAACTACCTTCGCTTTAAAATAGCTTGTTTGCCTATTATCTTACTAAGAAAGATTATTAGTGAGAGCCGAGAATCTTCTTCTCTGGATTTTATTTAGAGAAAAGCAAAGAACCGGGGAATTTATATCTAGCACTGTCAGTTAAGCAACTGCTCAGTTAATTATCTTAATGAAGCACATTCTTAGCTCTGATTAGTGGAGGGAAAAATCAGCCATTAAGCTTTATTAGGGAACTCATTTGTCTCCACAGCTACCTAGATGATTTTAAATGTAGCACCAATCACTCTTTCAGCACTTCTGGCTTTCTTTTTGAAAGGTGCTCATTTCATAAACTAATAACTGCACATACAATAAGGTGGACATTTATGAACGATAAGTAGTTTGTTAGATCATTAATTCTTTTCATTTGACCTCCAGATAGTAAACAAGTCAAATGTTAAACCTAGCAACAATTGGCTTGACAATTAGCATCTAATTAATTAGCTTTTCTGCTTCTCCCAGGTTAACATTTTATCAGCACCTTTCCAAAGACATAGAATATGGAAACCATTAAAAAAGAAAAGGAAGCTGGGAGAAATCCAGCAGCCCAATGCAGGGAGTATTTGAAAAAGCACCTCACACAGATTTATCCACCAGACCAAGATTTACATGTCGTGCGTGCCAAGTTTATGGCCCTCCAGCAATTGCAACTTGGCACTTGTGCTTGTCCGCAGTATTTTTTGTTTCTGTATTTATAGAGCCATTATGTTTACACCACAATATATCCTTGTATTATGGCTGCGTCTTTTGCTACAGGGACCGTAAGTCTCAATTTCTTATGCAAGTTCTCTACCAAAGCGCTTCCAGTATCTTCTGACTCAAAAGACACAAAAAGGAACAACCTCAAATAGAAATATCACAGTTCCATCAACACTATAGATTTAGAGCTGAAGGAACTCTGAGGGAACTGGGTCTTTTCAGCCTGGAGAAGAGGAGACTCCGAGGAGATCTGTTGGCGACATATAGGAACATTAGGGGGTGCCACACAGAGGTGGGTTGAGACCCGTTCTCCCCTGCGGTGGAGGGCAGGATGCGCTCCAATGGAGCAAAGCTCAGGGAACCAAGGTTCAATATGGATGCCAGGAGGTACTTCCTGACAGTCAGGACCCCGAGGGTGTGGAATGGGCTTCCACGGGAGGTGGTTGAGGCCCCATCAGCGAGGGTGTTTAAGAACAAGCTGGACATGCACATGGTAGGCATGTCAGAGCAGAGCCAGCTGGAGCTGGGAGTCAGACTAGATGGCCCGAGAGGGCAGAGGACATGGCAGTCTCAAGGTCACCTTGGGGAGATTATCAGGCAGTGCACGGGAACGAGCCCACCTTGGAAAAGGAGGGAGACATTTCAGAGTTGGAAAAGGGGTGCCTTGATCCAGCCAGGAGATGACGAGCTAAACAAGCAGACCAATTACGAAGAGCCCAACGTTCCCTCCACCAAGTCCTCAGGCAGCAAGGGCCTACCCTGAAGGTGGAGCCAGATGTGTTTCTGAAAAGGAGGGAAGGGAAGCATCGGTTTGGAGTCAACTCTTACATGGGCAGATGCTCCTCCCACATCTCGAGGAGAACACTGCTTGGATTCACACTGCCCCGTACCCTGTGCTTCTAAAGTCTCCTCTGAGTCTGCTGGGGAGGAGAAGGCTGAGGGAGAGCCCTGCTCACGACAGCCAGGCAGCAGAGCCTGGAGAACCGCTGCCGAAGGAGGTGGTACTGTGTTTGCTGGATCAATGATCCTGCTTGCTGTGAGGGCAACAAGCGTGTTGGTGTCACCGCTGAGGACAAGTAAGGAAACCCTCAGGGTGGGGCTGCACTTGGGCTGCAAGGTGCAAGATTTTGTGCCAATGCAACCGGAACATGAACATAGCTGCTTATTTTGCTCGATGTATTCTGCTTCTGGGAGGGGCCAGGAAAGCTGTCGAGCCCCACGGCCACTCAGGACACTGGCAGGCCTGGCAAAGCGGTATCCTGAGATGCGGCAGACCCTCCACATGCAAAATGACTTTCGAGTATAATTTTCAGAACGATTAGGGCTGCTTTTGCTTGGCTTTATAACTCCCACCAACCTCGCTCGCCTCAGATAATATATGCTACACTTGTACCTCAGCTGTAGATTCAAAGAATTGCCAGAGTATTGTTGCTGGGGGTCACAGCACTCTGGGAATTATAATTTGATAAGAGAATATCACATACCCTCACTTCAGTCCTAAATTGCAAGCTATCTAGAGGGCTTCGGCAACAGCACTGAGGCAGATGCTAAAATGAAAAATATATCCATTAGCCAAATTTGCTCCACTGATTTCAAGTATAACTTGCTACCAGGTGAAGTGCTTAAAACCGGGAGGCACAGATATGCTTTTGCATCGTAACGGTGGAGAAGCGTCTGCACTGGAAATATTTCTCTGTCTGGTGTGCAGAGCAATATGGAGTGCGAGCCTAGGGTTGCACAGTGGGGGAGTTGCATCTAATGGCTTCTAGAGCACTCATGCTGAGCAGCTACACGTTTCAGCTTTGCAATGGCACGGCAGAGGGAAAGCAGGAAGGCTGAAAACAAGAGAGAATCCAGAAGAGAAAGTGTCGGTCCTTTTGCAGTAGACGCAGCGAAGTCCTGGGGCACCTTAAAGATTAAACACATGTTTCTGTGGCAAGAGCCCGGCTCAGCAGATGAAGTCACGAAGCCTATGTCGTTGCAGCAGCTTCACTGCAGACAAGACGACAGAGAAGAGGCCATAAAAAGAAAGGCTGAGCCTGATAGAAATGGAAGGCTGAAAGGACGCACA